GAAGAAGAAGAAGAAGAAGAAGAAGAAGAAGAAGAAGAAGGCCGGAGCCAGCACGACGTTCTTTTCTCGGAGCACCACTGCCACCTCAAGCATCGTCTTCCACTGTCGCTATAGCCATCGCTGCTGCAACCTTCACCGTAACTTTTAATATCTCCCTATTCAAGTCGCTTTTTTACCTGTTACCCCGCCAGAGAAATAGATGCTGTTGGCTCCGTGACTTTGTGTTATCTGTCCATTCATGATGCCTCCCAGTCATTGTCTACTGCTGTGCTTTGGTCACGTCGTCATGAAGAGGTGAAGATGGCAGTGTGGACTTAAATTTGGCTTTTTTTTTTTCACGAGTTGTGATATGTTGTGAAAGAAGAGAGCCAGGCGTGCACAAGGAATGATTCTCAAGAAAGGAATAATATTCGGCACTTTTCATACTGTTTATCGAACGACGTGCTAATCACTCACTTCCCGTATTCCTACTTCGAAGAATGCCATGAAGGTGCCCAGAGCCTTCCTCAAGCCGCTAGGTAGATATTAGGTATTGGATTCTCTCGGGCTCTTCGTCATGTACTCAAGATAAAACCGAGGCTCATCTCAGGCACTGGTAGCCTCTCGCTCTACAAAGCCGTGCATGGCAGCCTGAACGCTCTTGAAGCGTGGAATACCACCATATGCCAAGGGAGTAAGCCATCAGGCGCTTTCCGGTGAAAGTGTACTGGCACGCTTCAAGCTGTGGAGTCGGCGGCTCTTCATTGCCATTACTTTTGCCAGGTCTCGCTAGCGGGACGATGGGCCTCTTCCGTTGGGCTTCGAAGCCACGCATCAGGCAATGATGTCGTAAGGGTTTGCTTCGAAGGAACAGTAGTGACGATGGTGGTGATGCACACTCCCCATCGGCCTCGGACAGTGGATGTGTCGAAGGCGAAAAGTGAAGGTGGTCATGAGTTGTCATGTGATTTGGAAGTGCACCATGTCCAAAGGTCACCTACCTCGAGTAGATTGTATTGGGAACTTGGAGTCGACCACGAATACCCGAGCACTGTCTAAGAATTATGATAATGCATGATAGGAAATTTAGTCAAGACTCAGGACTATGACGGTTGGATCAAAAGTGCAAGATCCAAGGCGTCCTGATCACTGTGGTCCGGTGTAGGTTCTGCACGTGACACAGCCGCTGAGACTGGGGCTGTCGGATTTTGGGAAAGCGATATCGTCCATCGCTACCGGACATTATCTCACTGTTCTTTTGATTTGCTCGCTGTGTCCTTATTTCCGATTGCCGTCTCCTGTCGGTCTTCTCAGAAGGCCGGCCTTCCGGTAGAGGATTACTGACTCGTGTGTTCATCCAGGACTCCTCAAGCTCTTGTGGGGCGCAATCCCTGTGCGGGCTTCGGCTGCCTGGTGTTGCTCCCAAACGTGCCGATTACCCATGCGGGATCCTTGGCCGTGCGGCTCTGCGGCGCTTTGTCCTGTACGGGCTTTCAGCCCGTGGGGTCAGAAAACCCTGGAGCCCTGGGGTTCGTAATCGCTAGTCATGTACTCCAAACCTGCAGAGTTTCCCGCGGATTAGCGCGTTTGCCCCACATGCGCTGTAGTATAGACAGGTCCGATAGACGCCGCAACGCTGGAAGACTTCACACACGCCGCAGCACTGACACGGAGTATTCATGCGCCTACACCGCCTCTTCAGCTGGATTTCAAATCCAAAGCCCACCTTCATTGTCGGAGGCGGCCGGTGTGGCCTCATCAATTGCTTGGGAGCAGCGAGTTCGACGCGCTTATCACTCACTAAGCGCGCTAGGCGACCAGCAGATCCCCGGTCCCGCAACTGATCAACGCCACCTAGTCAGAAATTATCGGATTTTGCGCTTAGTGTCTCCATACTATGAGCCGCAGAGGCCGTCGGCCTGGATGGATCACAACACCTTTGTCTGGATTAATGGAATTTCAGTCGCGTTCGTTGTCGCAAAAAAGCAGAGCCTATCGCATTTAACTATGTAATGCTGTCCCCTTCTTCTACACTGGCTTCTACTCAAGCAGGAAGCCTCCTCAACCAGTCGGACACAAGCTCGCTCCTGGGTGTGCTATCTAGAACTTGTTGCTGGGTGTGGTCTTGCTCTCCACTGTAAAGTGGCAATGTAGGGTCCTGGTTTGGAAGGGAGTTTGCTCGTCGACTTCCCTCCTCCGATCTGGGAGCAGAGATCTCGCCTTTCGAACGTTGAGCACTTGTTTCCTGGACAGCCGCGCCGGCTCTTGGTGAAGCTCTCTGTTCGGTTCCCCTGAGCTCCTGACTCCAGTCCGCTCCCCGCCCGAATCGATCCAAGATTGGAGAATTTGTCAACTCCACCGTAGAACCGTGATTGTCCGGGAGAGAAGCTTGCTGACGAGTTGACAGCCCATTCTCAAGCTCCTCCGCAGCTCTCTCCAGGGCACGGCATTTGTCAGTGCAGGACAGGTCTTCGCCCACCAAGCGAATCAATATCGCGACAAGTCTGGCAGTAGCAGCCTGCACTCCCTGGTTGTGGTCGAACTCGTCGTGCCTCCAGTACTGCTCGAGTTCACCGTGATCGACAGGAACGTCAATGTCTTCGAAAATCGTCAAGATCCCTGAGCTGGAGCTTCTGTCTATGGGTGTTGCAGAAAAGCCTTCCTCGTAGCGAACTTCGTCAAATTGGTCGTTCCCTTCTACCAGAACTGTTAGCGACCGCCTTCAAGTTAGGCTACATTGTGGCATTATTTCCTCACCGCCCGCTAAGGGTAAAAGCTGTTCAACATCGAATTCTCCGTCCATGACCAAGGCGACGCCTTTTCTTTTTGCCCGAGATTCAACTGTTTCAGTGTTCGACCAGCACAGTGGCAGAGTGTACGAGAGTGTACGAGAGAGGATGGTGTTCTTTGTTTTGCTTTGAATGTATTCTTTTTTCCTTTGAGGAGGTATCGTTGGACAGGGTCTTGATTAAGCACGTAGGGCCGTCTTGAAGTACTTGTTAAGCCTTGGCTAAGCGATTACGCAAGCTGAAAGGGTTTTCACTGTGTGACTTTCTCGGATCCCTTGTCAGACCAGCTTGATGCGAAGACCTCCGTTAATGATTTAATGAGGGTCGGCACGCTCCTACATGTACTCGCTGTCATTTTTTGAGCCCATATCGTCACCGCCCGATTTCGTAACTGGCAGGTAGGAAGACCATCACGGCATGCTGGCTTGGGTGCTTAAAAAAAGAACAGCAAGACCCAGTAGCTGATCTCGTAGTTCACAGCCCCGCAAAAAAAGGCCGGCGTGGGTGGAGGTGGGTGCGCTAAATTGGGAGCAGGCACATCAGATCGGCTTGCGATCCCATTGGGCGATGTGGTTATGAGTTGATGGTGTAGATCATGCTTAGGAGCTCTTTCCGACGCCTCGAAGGTGCCTGACGGATGCGGGCGTGCTCATGTAGCTGATCTCGGGATATCGTCCAGCTCAGGCGGCGCCTCACAGCTGTGCCGCAACCAATATTGCGTGACTCAGTCTCGACGTGCGGTCTGGGAGGACAGTCAGCCCGAACGCTGATCGCATTACTACAAGGTGCCCCTGTGGCTTATTCCGGCTCCCCGAGACTTTGTAACATGGCTACAGATCAACACTCCCTGCCAGTGGCATAGGCTCGAGCGCTTCACGACTCCAAGAGCCGCATGCCACTGTGTCCGCTCCGCCTGTGATGCTGGTGTACTACCGTGCTTTAATCAGTATTGCTCCCGCGGCCTCGTCTCGCCCCTGCAATCGCCATCATCTGAAAGTTGACCTTGGACCTCGCTTGTGAGGTAGCAGCCCTGACTTGCGTGGGGCGGGGAGCCCCAGGGCATTCCCGCTGGTCAGTCTGGCGCCAAGAAAGGCCGCTCGCCCGTTCAGCGTAGTGAACCGACCCGGGGAAATTGGAATAGTACGGTGCTCGGAAGTGCAACGGCAATTCGTCTGTTGGTACTGGCATCCGCTAATTGGGGAATGCCTCAGCCGTGGGATAGGCGTTACACCAGTACGTCTTGCTGATTGCGATATGATTGTCTTCGGACGATTGATGAGGTTTCCAGACAGTTGGGTACTGGACTCGGCGCTGGCCCTAGAAAGCAAATGTCACGCCCGCGACCGGAAATTTGCAGGAAGAAAAGGGGAGAGTGGCAGGGGTGGCGTGCTTGCGGTCCAAAAGATTAATGAATGATCTCGATCAAGCTGCGCTGCAAGTCTGGTCCGAAACCCTTGCAGTGTGCATGGATTCTTAGTGCCGTGGCACACATCGACGGCAGAGTGCAGCTAAGCAGAGGCGAGGATTCTGAAGCGGCAGTGACAGTGATGGATCCCTGCGGGCTTGCGGATTCCGCGGTACTTGACAACGACGGGGAACCTTCTTCCGACGACGAATTCACGCAGGAAATCCTTCGGGCTATCAAAGAGGGTAGGCAAACACCGCTGCCGTGCAATCGGTCACTAGCTAACGGATTGATAGTCCACGGCTCTGATGGCGGCAACGAAGAGGACCTGGCCGTGGACTTATCCGGCGCTGCCAACACCGCCGTACACCAACCACCGGAGGAGCAGCTTTTCCACGTCAGACGTAACACCGCAAGAAACTTCAAGGTGTGTCGGCACAAGGGAGCAAGCGTGCCAAGGTGGAAGGACATGAAGCTCACAACTTCGGTCGAGCTTCAGGGCGTCGAGCTTCGTCAAGGAAACCTCATATCTGTCGTGGTGTTGGGACAGAACGATGCGATCGCTGAGGTGGCCGAGATCCGGGCCGTGGGCGACGGTCGCCACTTGCTCCGCGTTTTCTGGTTCCTGGAACGGGACATGGTCATTCCGGGGCTGGACGATTCCAATCGAGCCAAGTTCCCCCCCGAATTTGCTTTCGTCAAAGCTGCTTACACGGATGTCATCTCGTGGATCACCACGCGCGGGCCGCTTGACAGCTCCTCACGAGCGAAGATACTTCCAGATCGAATCCTTTGCTACTGGGGTGACAGGAGGACATCACTCGAGCT